ATATATATATATATATATATCGACAAAGATAATTAAAATTTTAAAATTTATTATAGTTAATATTTGAATTTGTAATATTATACACAAAACTCTAAAATTAAATGGTGATTGAATAGTATACTATCAGACAACTATTAATAGTACAGTCAACTATTATTCCAATCCTAAAATTTTGATAATCTTAAATAATACCGTTAAATAAGTGATAGAAAGCTGAAATAATATGATTCATTCATTTGATCAGTTATACTAGGTTGAATACGAGGAAAGTGATTATGCAATTTCAAATTTACATGGAATAATATGAATGAAAGTGATTCATTCAAAATTAAAATAAAGATTTGCTATTTCTTTTGCACTATGAGGAATTGAAACACATTTTTTGTTCTTTAATGGTGCAATTTATGATACTTAATGGTGACAAGAAGAGCAGAAGAGAGAGAAAAAGATACAAGAAGAGAGTAAAAGAGAGAAAAAAAGTGCAACCAAGTAGCCTGAAGTTAAGGTCGTTTCTATCAACTTAATAGATAAGACTGAATTGATACCGAAAACAAAAAACCAAATGTCTACATTTTAAAAACTGAACATAAATTCACCTCACATGGAGACGAAGTAAGTTAAGCCTTATAATTATTACTTGATTGACAAATTTACAAATAATAAAAGTAAACATAAATAACATAATTCTTTCTGACCTTAAATATTATTAAACCTTAGTACAACGGGACGTTCATAAGATATTTTTTTATTAAAATATTTCAATATAAAAATTTAAAACTCAATATTTATCATTCTTTGTTTTGTTGTATTTAATTTTATTTTTTTATTCAAATGTAAAACTTTTAACTCATTATTAATTTTTATACTTTTATATATAAGTTACGTGATTATATCTTATAGAATTATTCAGTTTTCCTATATGATATGAATAATTTCTAATCAATTCTCTAAAATAATGTTATTATAGTCTGGTAAGTTTCACATTTGGTAACCTTTTTTTCGCTAAACTACACCTCAATGCATCTTACAATGGGAAGACTAATATTCAATAAGTCAAACTTACTTATTTACACAAAAAATGCTTTAATTATTTGCAAAAACTGTCAGGTCTTTTCTTTTATTTTTTAAAATAAATAAGTTTTAATAAAAAATCTTCTGTTATCTTTTATACATATGTAGAAAAGAAAAAACTGAGTCAATGGTTCTATACAATAGAATGAGATTATGTGATGCAATACTTCCAACCTCCCTCAATGTATTCAACCTGAAAACTGAGACTTTTTATTTTTTTAGTAAAAAAGTTATTTACTCTTTCAGTTTTGATATGATTAAAATTGCTTTCATGGGGCATAGTAACTGTAACATGAGACAGTGACTGGTTAATTTAATTAAGAATTAGCTAATGATGTATGAACATGAATTAGTTTAGTTTGGGTTTGAGGGTCTACAAGGGACCCATTCTCTGCTGTCCAAATTCATTTTTCTCCATTGATGGTAACATGCATTTGATATGGTAGCAGCACAACACGTTGCGTTGGCCACACTGCATGGCACTACACAAAGACTATGGTACCATTATTTAATTCAAGTTTTAGGTGCAAAATTCAAACTTAAAATTTCAAATTACTGGTGGGGTCCACCCATATTTGATTGTCAAATGATATGTCTGTTGCAGCCTCTCATGCTGACCATATCTGCAAAGTCCAAACCTTGAATGAAATCAATCCAAAGGGAATGCAGAATTCAGAATCAGAAGAAGAATTGCAGATGAACAACTGCTGCATCCAAATCCACTAATGCAAGTAAGTTGTTACATACGACATTAGGACATTATTTGTTTTTGTTAATGATCATGGTCAGTGATGTTGACAGAAAAGCCGTGCATATTGTTAATCTATGTTTGGTATTTGTATATGGAGAGAATCATCTTTTGCGCAAAATCCGGATAGAAAATGCTGCTGACATTGAGCATTGTGCAGTGAACATAAATTTATGCATACATGGCAAAGACATTGCAGATGGTATCATAGCACTTTCTAGACCTTAAATAAAGAATGATTATGTTTGATTCTCCAACTTGGTCGTATTACCACCAATTCACAAACAGTTTCCAGATCTCAAGTTAACAAAATGAAGGCTGGCTCCACTTGTTCACTCTTAGCATAACCTGCCACAACTAAAAAGACATGGTTCCAGCAAAATGGAACACTATGATCAGAGGCCAGTATTTAAATTTTAGACTATAGGGTCTGTTCATTGTAAACCTAGTCAAATGAGATAATTAAATATCTGGTAATAAAGATGCGCCCTAGTGTATTGCTGGATTTTGCTTTTCATAGCTGAAAAGTGAAAAGTCTTGATGTCTAAAAGTGCTGTCATGCTGGATTTCAATTTCATCATATAAAGTTTCTTGTTTCAGGTTCTTATCGTTTCTTGTATTATCAGAGGGACTATAGGGATTCAACCTCAGAGAATTCGTCGATTCAACACTTGTGTGATATTTTGCAGGTGCAAAACTACTGGTAAGGATTTCCCATGTAATTCTCTAAACTCTGGAGTTTGCTTATTTTATCTCCTTACATACTATAAATAGATGCCATTCAGACAACTCACATTTCATGTTCTCTAGGAATTTGATTCTATTTGTGTGAATTTCCATTTTCTATGTAGTGATTTATGCTACTCTTTGTTGCTTCTGTCTCCTCTTTTCCTTGTCAGGTGTGCCTTATCTTTATTCCATGGGGTGTTTTTCTTCAAAAGTGATAGCAAGATCAATTAGTTTCCATGAAGAGAGAAAGAAGAGATCACAGAGAGCAAGTAATGGTATTCCACTGTTGGAAGATCTAATAATCTCCTCTGGTGGCAGTGATCAGTACCTAGCTCTTGTCTGTGCAGCTAACACAGTATCCAACAAACTGCACTCTGGGAATCTTAGTTCTAACACATCCTCAAAACTTGCCATTGAGCCTGCCATTTCTGAAACCATCAAGAATTTGAAGCCTGTATCAGAAAGACTAGTTCAAGGAGAAGGGAAGAAAATTGAGAGAGAGAAAAAGAACAGGTCCAAAAGTTGGCACCAGTTTCCAGAGCATATTGTGCAGTCTCTTGCTCAGGAGAACTCATCTGGTTTTGATGATAAACATGACTCCAGTTCTAAGGGTGCTGCACGTAGTAAGAGTTTTCACACAGTGGAGGAATATGATGATATAGTTGAGAAAATATGGTCAAGCAAGTGTCATACAAATCAACAAAGTGAGTTCAATGATGAAGAAGATTCTGGTTCAGGATCAAATACAACTCACCACACTGATTATGCAGTCAAGAGCATGCAAGTACCAAGCTTAATAAAAAAGCATTCATTGAAAGAAAGAAAAATAGTGAAGGAGAGCAAGAACTTGATTACAGCAGCATCAGAAAGCAGCACAGAAGCTCCAACTCCAAGTCCTAATAATAAAAGTAGCATCATTGAGAAGGGAAATAAGAGAAAAGCTGTGGCAAAGAGGCTAGAATCACTTAGAATCCCTTCCAGTGTTGAATATCCAGCCATTGCTAGTCTTAGAGAATGGCTTCCCAAAGGTGGAATATACTCTCCTGGATCCTATGTCACCCCAAAATTTGGTAGCTATTCTATAATGGATATCAGTAATGCAAATGAGTCCGGTGAGGATTCTATATTCAGTCCAGAGTTGGTGTCTGCTTTTGAACACTGTATGAAGAAACTTGAAGCAGAGGAAGAGAACATTCTGAAACAAATTGTAGAGCATGTGGATGAAGAAAGTGAAGCAAGCAGCACCATGAAAGAACACTATGCATAAAAGTCACACTCATACTTCAGGTGAATTTTGTTTATAAAGGATAAATAGCAGATAATGTTGCCATTTCTACTCCTCAATATCGTTCACATCTTCAATGTCTGTGCATGTGAATTTCCAGTTCACATATTTTCATTCGAGAGTATTTTGGAAAGAGCTGCAATAATTTTTATGACAGTCAATCTAAATTTACGTTCACAGTTATAAAAATATTGGACAAAAAATTTCATTACCAACTAATTTACAGTGTTTTTTTTAAAAAGTTTTTTTTGAAATGTCCAAGGTCTTATAAATAATATAATCTTTAGTCAATGTCATTCCATTTCTGTTTCTTTTTTGTGATCGTCAAATTTCTTTTACTTATAACTAAAAAATGCAGATGGTGACGGCATCAGCATTGCTACACCTCACAGTATGATAAAATAAATATTTACGGGGACAACAGATGAAGCTACCAACATAATTTGTAAAGGACAAAAAGTTTGAAAATAATAAAAGAAAATTACAAAAACTAAAAAAAAATCATCATATTTGAACACCTAGATTTTTTTTATAGGTGTTTTCTTTTACCTAAACTTTAACCTCGTTTAAAGTAGTACCTTGTCCAAATAAGCATTTAAAAAAATTAGTAAAATCATATATATATACACACACACACACACACACATTAATCAAATGACTTTTTTTCGTGGATTACAAATCACAATATTTAACTTATTGTATAATGTTGTTTAATACTATGTTTAAAGTTGAGTTGAAATTTTTTTTTTATTAAAATCAATCATCATAATAAATAATTTTTGAGACTAAATTAAAAAATCTCTCAAAAAGTAACATTAAATCTAAATATAAAAATACAACAAAATAATCAAAACACAGCATGCGCCTAAAAAAGTAACTAAATATTTTTCTCACTGTTTTTTCTAAAAACTCTATGTTTTTATCATTTTTATGATAATCATAAGAACACCAATAATAACAAAAAAAACTCTTTAAAGAGAGAAAAGAGCGAAAAAGCTTTCTAGATGAAGCCTCCAATGTTGCCTTCATATATTACTTTTGCCTGCTTATATATCCCAATTTAATCCACACAGGGTAAGCACAGATGAACAGCACTTGGTTTCATCAAACACTCACTCTCTTTGTTGCATTCTTCAATCTAGTATGGGAATATATGCAAGCTAAATTCACTCATTCTCACCAACATCCAACCATGGAAAATGAGTGAATCTCTACTTGCATAAGTTACCAAAAGGTGGAAGTGACCAACCAAATGCTGTAAAATATTATGTGTATAGATCCTCTGTACAAACTTCCTCCAATTTATTACCATCCCAAGATTGAAAAACAGACATTCCAAGACAATGTTATTTAGCATGAAGGTGTACCTCAAACAACTGTAACATCCTCAACCCATGCTCTTCTAAAATGTATGATGAGGCAATCCACCAGTTTTTCTTCTTTGGCTAAGATGGTACCACCAAACTCAAATTCCTAAACACTACACAACACAACATAGACTGTAGGTACTTACAAGGTGTAAGGTTACAAATTTACAAGCAGTCCAGATACATGTAATTTCTGCGTCGATTCAGCTGTAGAAGGCTTCCATAGGTGCGGTCCCAAACACCAATGAAAAGTGATTCTGTGTCAGGGCTAAAGGACACACCAGAGATCTCCCCAAAAAAATCAATCTCCTGCTCCTTTTCAAACCCATGCTTTGCATCGTAAACATGCACGAAGTCGGCTGGCTCTGCCATCGCCATGAACTGCCCGTCAGATGTGAAACGTATTGAACGTATAGCTCCAAGGTTGCCTTTAAGAACAGCAACAGATTTTGACAAGTTCCGAACATCCCAAACACGACATGTTTTGTCTTGGTTCCCGGTAGCAAATATTTGCCCATTAGGATGCCATGCAGATGCAAATGAGAAATCCAAGTGTCCATGCAAAGGTGTGATAGTCTGCAAGCACAACCGAAATTAAAATTAGATATTCACAACTTTTCACATTTGCATATATTCAAGAGAGTCCTTTTGAGAAATATAGAACGGGAACCTATAACATAGACAAACAGAACATGCCAACCTTTCCTGTTTGAGAATCCACCAGTAGTGCTTCTGGGTTGTCTCCAACAATTGCAAGTAGTTTCCCATCAGGGCTTAATGAAGTATGCTGCAGACCGAAAGAAAACAAATTCATATTACCATTTATGCCATTTACCAATAGACACTAAATCATATTTTTCCAACACTATCAGCAGGCATCCACAATGCACATCAAACATGAATTAAGAACATATAAATAGAAACTGACAGGGACTAATTATACTGAAAGTAAGATAAAGTTCAACCGGAAACTCTCATTTACAAAAGAAGAAATTGAACAGGTAATATAGACAGAGGGCAGAGCGGATATTGAGCTGAATTATCACACTCTTCCCTCCCAGGCCACCTTGCAATTGCACCCCTACTTATCTCATCATTGCGTAATGTTCCTCTCCAATCACTTGCTGCCACATTCACACTTGTTACTTTCCTTCCACCACTTCATCCTCAATTCAAAACAGCATCCTTTCCTCTCTTCTCATACACATATATGTCTCCTTCACTCCACCTTCACTGGTCCATTTCCTTTTTTCTTCTTTCTTATATACATGTGCAGAAGGCCCATAGACACAATTACTCTCAATTCTCTCTCCCTTTTAAACTTTAACCATACGAATCTAAAGATTATGATACAATTTTGAATTTGTGAGGAGTTTCTAAGACAGATGTAAAGCTGAAAAATCATCAGGTCTTAAAATTGAAACCAAATGAGAGTTTCTTCTTTCTTTGGTGCAAAAATACTTTTTAGGCTGCTCATCCAGAAATGACTTCTTAAGTTTTAACACCAAGTTTAAGACACACAGAACCCAATTCAGCCTCAATTGACCAGAAGAGGGTATTCAACATTAAAGTTCACATAGAATAAATTTATTTTGCAAGCAAGCTGTCCAAATTCAGGCCAAAAGATGGTCAAATGGTACCAAAATGTTTTTTCCCAAAGACACTTGGCCAGGCAGTCAGTACGTAAAATAACTAAAATATATTATCAAAGTTATTAGAAACAGAAAAAAAATAGAATGAAATTATTAGAATACTAAACAAGGTTTCAAAAACTGAATTTCTACAAATTCTTCACAGAAACTAGATTTCAACTAACAACCGGAGGATATTTCTATTATACAAATAAAATTATCAGACCTGCCTTTTAGGAAAAACAAATGTTAAAGGTGGCTTACAATTACCAAACAGTTCAACATAGTTCAACAGGTATAATGCTACAGTTAAAAAGCTAGAGCAGAACTTTAAAAAGCAATAAATAGGTAAAGAAAAAGCAAAAAGAATGTATCAAGTTAGGCATATGTTCCATATCTAATTGTAATCCAGCATTGGTCCTTTATAACGCACAACTCTGTTTTTTCCCCTTCTATCCCCTTCTCATTACTTAAAGCGCAAAGCCAAAGTCAAGCCAATTCAAACAACAACCAATCCTTTTTTATTATACAAAGTCATGCCAATTCTCAATTGGTCAAAAATCTGAGCATAAACCAATAATCTTATCATATCTACGCAACAAAATAACAATAATAACAATGTCACTATTCATATCTATAATTTAAAACAAGGAAAATCAAGTGGAAGTACTTACATTTACTGGCCAAGGAAAGGAAAAATGCTTTGAAAGCTGAAACCTCTCCATATCAAAGTCTCTAACTCCAGAGTCATTGTTAGAAGCCATGAAATGAACAGCTCCGCTGATAGATTAATCAATCGTTAGTAAGAAGCCCTATTTGAGGGCTGTATACAGTTATTACTAACATCGTATTAACAATTTAAGACCCCAAAAATATCAAGAAAGCAGAGAAGAAAGACCTCGGATGATCATAAATCTCCACAGCATTTGTGATTGCATTGTCCTCATATGTAGTTCGAGTACAAAAACTAACTCCAGGCCGGTCTAAGTACTGCAGGACATTGAGATCAATGGAAACAAATTTAAAAAAATTGAGGATGACTTCATATTATTTCCATTTTATCAAGCAGTTTCAATTAATCATATAAAAAAATAAAATCAACTCTATCTCCAAAAAATCAAGGTTAACATCTATACTGTATAATAAGTTAGAGAATTAAAATCAATATACTAATTTGTGCAACAGAAGCCAAAAAATTAAAAAGAAATGTTGTGCATTATATTTTCTGGGGCAGCATCACATACAGACATAGAAGAGTGGAAGGTTTAGTGCATCTGATGAATAATTATTTGCATTAAAATACTAATCATCCATAAGTAAAAAAGAAATACCTTGCAAATAAGTTCTCCTTGAAACCCTCCAGCAATCAACAAGTTATTACGCACTGCCAGTGTACTAATTTGTGTCTGAGTAAAACCTTCCAAGAGGCTTCCAGGATGTTTCTATTAGCAAAACACACATTTGAAATCTCAGATGCTTTGTTTCCAAGTGAAGTGTTCAAAAGAATCAAATAACCACGAAAAATGATTACCTCACACGGAGCTACATGCCCTGCTACATTCAAGACTTCAGAACTCTTAGAACTTAATGAAGACCAGTGAACAATTGAGTAATTTGAAACAAGATATACGTCATGTTTTGATGTTGACCAAACCAAATTCCTCAACTGCAAATGAAAAAAAAATAGAGGTTTCACATAATAGTATTGCCAACAACTGCTTAACATAAAGTTCCACAAGAAAATAGAAAAACAAAACATATATCCCATGTAGCAAAACACAGTGTCAGTTATCACAAAAGGTGTATAGTGAGGTACAAGTCATTCCACAAGAAAAAGATGATAACATAGAGCGCAGACAACACAAATCTCATTAAATCCTCACATGAACGGAAGTAAATAATTACAAAATCAACATACTTGGAAATGAAGTATTGTTGACTTCACAGATCTAGTGTTTTGCCAGAAATCATAATAATTTCCCCCTTTATCTGTTGCTTTGCATTCCTGTAGATGTGGAGAAAAAGGTAGTGTCAAACAATATTTTTAAAATGAAAAATAACTACCTAGACAGCTCCAAACTAACATATTTACCTTCTCTGACATTTCCCCAGATTGCGGTATATTTTCATAATTCTTGTATTGCTCTAGTCTGGTTTGTCTATATTTCTCGCGACTAATGGTCAACCTATCCCAAGGTATACCTTGGATATCCTTCCCCCTCCTAGCTTCTGCAGCAGTGGTATCTGTTATTCGGTCCTCCTGCATCCGGGAACCAAAAAGAGAGACGTGCAAGAAAATGAAAATATCATGTCAACGACCACATTGTACTAAGTTGTCCAATAAAACCAGAAGGAAGCAAATACATATGCAATTATACAGAGAAATGTGTGCACAAACATATAACATCGGATAGGGTTTCACAGTTAGAATGAGCAAACAAGGTTTTGTTTATGAAACAAACCAAAGGGTCATATTCGTAGTCGTCATCGTCATCTGAATCTGATTCACCAAATGCTCTGCCGCGAAAATACATGTCATCTTCTACCTCTGCCATTTCATTATCATCTGCCGCATAGTCCATTTCATCACCATGGTATTGAGACATGTTTCCTGATGCAGTTCGGATTTTAACAACCGATATCTAGCATTGAGATAGGGTACTAAGATGAGTTGGAAAACAACAAACTCTACCGCAGATGCTAAGCTTAAATTTTATAAGAATGCAAAATCCAAACACCAAATTCTTTGTTATAGTAGGCACTACGATACTATTGGTTCAATTTTACAGAGAAAATAACACCACTTACAGCCATTTAGCAGCAACAAGAACTTTAACCAAACCCTAAAACCAAATACTTTTTTTTCTAAAAAAATCCCATCTTGTCTCATTTAGATTCCAAACCTAAACTGACAAGCTAAGTGAAAGCAGGTAAAGCTTAAGAGCAACATAACATTAATTTGGGCAAATTTCAATTACCCCAAAAGGAAAATAAACACATCTACATACATAACATGAAAAAAAAAAATCTTTTTTTACTAGATTCAGAAATTAAAACTATAGTTTCACATGGTCCTAGAAAACAACATTCGAAAACCAAAAACAACAAATTAAACGTAGCAAACCGAAGACGAACTGGCAGCAAATATATGAAAAAACAAAAACAACATTTAACAGAGAAAAAGGATGATTGAATTATTAAAATTAAAAGGGGTGAAGCAATTGCAATTCATAATAGGATTGACGAAAAGGGGGTTTGAAAGGTTAAAAAAATCGAACCTTTTCAATCTAATTTCCTGGGTTCGTAAATCGAAGGAAAAATCAGGTCCTTGAAGTTGTGAAATTGTTGGATCTTAGTGATAAGGACCCGAACCGGATCTGGGCATAAAAATGGAGCAGGCAGGTTTTGCAAAATATATAGATTATAATAACTGCACCTGTGAGTCTGTGATTGATAAAATCAGATACAGGTTACTCTATGAGATTTTCTTTTCTTTTTTTCTTATATATTTTATTTTTAAAATAAAATAATGCTACTGTCTCCCATATCAATATGGACATCACAACCGAGTCACCCAGGATTTCACTCTCTTCTCAATTTTTAGTCAGGTTTCGAATTTTAATATTTCTTTTTATTTAATTTTATCTAATAATTATAAACGATGATAAAGCAATAAACAAATGCATAATTTAAACTTTCACTACCCAAAATTCTAGAAAGTCCTAGATTTTCCTCTGTCAAACATCAAAAAATATTTTTGAGCATTCTCACATACTGTGGTTAGGATTCCAAATGTTAATCTTTAAATCCTATTTACATTATGTTGGACTATAAATATTTAAATTATTTATATTAATTTTGATACCATATGTTTATTTAGTTTAAAAGCTTACAACGATAATATGTGTTTATAAATTTCAAAGCATGTCTTTAAAGGATTCAAAAAAAAGTCAATAGTGTTCAGAAAATTTCTCAAAAGAAGTATTAATAAGGTAGAACCAGACACTGGTAATTAAATTGCATGGACGATTATACAATCAAAGGTACAATTTTATTATGCTCAACCAAGCATTTGGTTCAAAGGATTTTTTTCATGTACTTAGATTGGAAATATAATAAATTAATTAAACCTGTGATATGACATGGATTCTAGATTTTACACAAAGAAACATGTGTAGGAATCTAAGAATTGAGCAATCTCCTTAATAATTGGGTAATTCCTACCAAACAAGTCAGTTAATTCCTTTGAAAAAAAAACAGTAAAAATGTCATTTTTTTTCCCTCTCATTTTGTATCACACAATATTCCCAAAATGGCTCATTTTTAGGTTACTTTCAATAAAATGTAAACATAATTATTAACAAATATGTTTTTTTTTTTAAATCTAGAAGAAATGCATCTTTATTGTATAAAAGTAAAAATATTAAATAAATTAAAATACTATATCTGCAAAATGTGAAAGTGGTTCATTTTGGTACGAGGGTAAAATTATACAATGTGTGTTTGTAATTGAGAAAGTCAAGGAAAGAGGAAAGGCTAAAATCCTTAAAGTGTGACATTTCATCAGAGATAGAGAGCATGAATGTGGGTTTGTGCGAGATGCATTCTGTAATCTGTAGCACCGCCGTCGCACCTAACTTTTCCGGTCGCCGGAGCAAAGTTCGGAACCCTAATCAATTACGCGCTAAATCCTCTCTGCTCATTCAAAAGCAGGATACCCAACTCGCAGAACCCTTATCCGACTCCGTCTCCGTCTCCCGCCGCCTCATTCTCCTTCGCCATGCTAAGAGTTCCTGGGCAAACCGCTCGCTCCGCGGTAACCAATCTCCTTCCCAACTTTCACTCTTAAACTCTCAATCTTTGCGCAATTACTGAGTGAGAACATAGCCTTCTAACAAATTGGAATGGAAACGGAGAAAAAGTGTTAATGCTTCCAAGTAGAACAACTGGTGGGTTTCTGCTTAGTGCAATTCCGTGGTCAAACTCTCGAACTTATTTACCTTACTCGTTTGAATAATGTCTGTGTTTTGGGACATGCATGCTCCCAGATTCTTGGAACACTTTTTTCTTAACCTAAGTACTGTTTTGGGTCCATGCAAATGTACCAATTTTTGCTTTTAGTACGTATTTTTGTTTTTTGGGTTATGATCCTTGATTCTTTGTATGTATTGGGTTCTTACTTTGACTTTGTTTCAAACTCCATCTAATGTTTTCGCTGTGTCACATCCGTATTCTTGTAAGGTGGGACTTCCACAAAACCTGGTGGAGTAATGTAAGCGATTTTGTAACAGAAGGAAAAAATTAAAGGTTTTAATACGGATTAAACAAAAGACATAAAGGACTTAAAGCAAAACGTGTTATATTTGCCGGAGGAAAGGGATTTTTAAACCTTTATCTTAAGAATTTGAAAGGAAGATAAATGAAAATATGTTTTTTTTTTCCAGACCATGATCGGCCTCTGAGCAAGTCTGGGAAAGAGGATGCTGTGAGAGTTTCCCGCAAGCTCCAAGAGTTGGGTTGGATTCCTGAACTTATATTGTCTAGGTTAGCAATTTTGTGGCCCTTGCTTGTGTTGTGGCATTTGAATTGATGCTCGTTGGGACGAACTGCTGTTTGAGTTCTGTATTGATTTGTTGCAGTGATGCAGCGCGGACTAAGGAGACACTTAAAATAATGCAAGAGCAAGTGCAGGAGCTGGTGGAGGCTGAGGTTCATTTTATTTCTAGTTTCTATTCAATTGCAGCTATGGATGGGCAAACTGCAGAGCACCTTCAAAAGGTTATTTGTAGATATTCAAAGGATGAGATACTTACTGTCATGTGAGTATCTACAAATTCTAGACTTTTTGGGTCTAAATTTTTTTGTCTTGGCATTTGAAGGTGGAGATTGATGAATGTGGCTACATTAGAAATGTTTGATATTTTTCACAAGCACAACCTATGGATTGAAACATTGTAGTCATTTTCAATACTTTCTTTGATGTCATATTTGTAGATTAAATTTGATATACTTAATAAATCACACGTGGATTTCAAATTCAGAAAGTCAGTAGAGTCACTTTTTACATTTTCCCTTTTCAAAACCATAATTAATTGCGTTGAACTATTTGATAGTGTTTTTGGACTTCTTCCACAATGAGGATTGAGATTCACATGACTCGTCTGTTGGTTGAATCTGGGTGGTAATTGTGTGTAGGTGGTCGTTATCTCAATCATGTACTATAGAACCTATAGCTAAAAAATAGAGTTAATTTTCAAGTATTCTCTAAGGGGCCTTTATTTATTGTGGGATAATATCTTTCAATTTTCTTTTTAAGAAACAAAGTTTGATATTTACAAACTAAGATTGATGAGTTTTGATGGATATTTGATCATTGAGTGGTATGCAGGTGCATGGGACATAATAGGGGGTGGGAAGAAGCAGCATCAATGTTTTCCGGGGCCTCTGTGGAATTAAAAACATGCAATGCTGCACTGCTTGAGACTGCTGGAAAATCTTGGGACGAGGTTTCATTTCATTACCTTGCATGACACTGCAATTAGTGTATTTCCTTTCAAGACTTTACTGTCTCCCATTAAATATTAGGTGCCGTCTTTCATTGTTTACCCCTTTTTATACTTCTACGAAGTTATTATACTAAATATTCACTGGGGACCACACAAATATTTTATGGACTCGTCTTTTGCAAACTATTATTTGCTCTGATTAACTTCTATTTATTGGAGTTTCAAATCAATATGAAGTAATAAATTTAAGGTTAAACCATTTTCTGTACAAGTAATTAAAGCGATTGTATGCATGGATAATATTCTGTATGTTTCAGCCATTGGAATTTGATGTACACAATCCTTTGTATGTGGCCAAATATTGGCCATGCAGTGAGGGTTTTAAGTAGGTTTATGCCAAATCCAAGTCAATCTCATTGGGAAGCAGTTAAATGGATTTTTGAGGTATCTACTATGATGCACCACATTGAGGTGTATGTATTTTGGTAAGGGAGAATTACATGTACAAGGCTACATAGATGTAGACTTTGGAGGTGAAGTTGATCACTGAAGAAGTACCACTACATTTTCACTGTTGGTCTACAATTGTTGGTTTGACATTGTAGATGCAAAAGACAGTTGCTTTACCTACTATAGAGGTTGAGTATATTGTAGTAACAAATGCCAATAAAGAGTTTATATGACTTCAAGGAATATTAGCAAAGTTGAGATTCATCAACTAGAAGATTTTTGGATAGAGATAGTCAGAGTGTGATGCATCTATCAAAGAATTTCAACATTTTATTTTATAGCAAAGTACATCTGTATCTGTTATCCCTTCTTCCTCAATTATTTGCTTGATGGTGAGTTGTTAACATTTAGAAAGATCCAAGGAAGTAAGAACCCAACAGACATGATGTGAAAGATAGTAACCATTAGCAAACTAAAGTTGTGCTCCAGTTTAACTGGCTGTTAGAATAACAAATTAGAGAAGGTTGCTGCATTGATCAAGATGTGAAGACAAATTGAAATTAGTCTTCAAGTGGGATATTGTTGGATGTGTTTATACAACCCCTAAAATTGAATGAAGCGTGTCATTCTTTTGTTTAGTTAAAGAAGGAAATTGGGTGCATAAAATAGAGTTATATGAGATTTCTCCATGCACGTATAAATGCCTCGCTGCTATAACTACTTATTTCCATTCCAAAACCGATAAAGATTTTAATGAGAGAAAAACTTTAGTAAGAAAAAATATTCATTTATTTTTTTAGTGTAATTGTGTTGAGTGTTTGTAAACATTATTTTTATTTTTTCCCTTTTTCAAGTAGACGAACTCTGTTATTAATTGTGTTATTATTCTGCATTTATCATATTTCTCACAAATCAGATTATAGGGAATGTGCATAATTTCTCAACAATGGGTAATCAGTTATTACTAGGACCCATAATCTTTAAAGTGGACATACCCCAAATTCCATGGAGAAGAAATTGTGGTTTCCCATTAAATGAAGAAATGACACCTTATTTATGTGTCTTTGGATTAGATTTTGTGTATATTGTAGATGTAGTAAAACTATTCATGATCTTCACCTATCTACATACTTTTGGGGAATTCTCTTCCCTGTGTCTACCTGTTACTTGGTCTTGATGATCAATCACATGTAAAACATGGTTAACTTTGTTTCACAATTGGTTTAAGAGTAAAATAATGCGATTGTATACAATTGTTGACCAATATTTATGACAGTAACGGGTAAATATGTCTCGAAGTGGTTCAGTATCATGAAACTATTGAAATATTTAATGGTGATTAACTTTGCTTCAGAAGTGGTTAAGAGTAAATGAATGTATGTATATAATTACCAATCTTTACTTGTGGTACTAATGGTTAAATATGGCACACAAAAGGTTAATAGTGTCTTCAAATTATTGAAATATGTAATGGTAGTTAACTTTGTCTCACAAGTGGTTAAGAGTTAAAGAATGTGATTGTATACAATTATTAATTTATACTTCTGGCACTAGTGGTTAATATACCTTACAAATGGTTGATAATGTCTTGAAGTTATTAAAATGTCTAATGGTGGTTACTGTGCCTTACAAATGGTTAATTGGGTCGGGTGGATGCTTTAAATGGGACGTTCTTCTTTTTCCTTAGTAGAGTTCCTTGATAGTCACAAGTTGCTTTTACCTGGATGCAGTGTTGCTATTCACTGAAAGTGTATAGTTTTTCTCATGTATGATTAAGCATCCTTCGTAGTTCATAAAATTTCTCGAGAGTGTTTTGTGGGGGAACACTATTGTTTCACTTGTGGAAAATGTTTATTTTTCTTTTGATTGCTTATAATTAATTTTTGGGGGTTAAGTGACTCTTATTGATTAGAGGTTTGGGATATCTGTAATAAAATCTGTGACATGAATGCTGTATGGCATGTTTGTTTCTTAATTAAAGCAGCCTAAACCCCATATGAAATCAAAGCTTGTGTCTTGGTCAGTTGAGTTCAAGTGGGGTTCGAGCTGTTTCATGGGAAAAACAAATATGCCCATAATAGTTTGGGAATTACCTTTTAAAATCAAACTTTTTTATAAAACTGTTAGTTCTAGATTCCTAGTAACTGCGGGCATGATGAAGAAAGCCTGTTCCTTGTGGTCATCATCACTTCCTGGAAATTACTCCTTCGCTAAATCTGATGCAACTGTGACTCATAATGTGTTGACGGTGTAACCCAAGATAGTCAGTTATTGCTTCCTTGAATTTCCACAAAGTTGTTTCCTATAACTAGTTGCTATTATGCCTGACACTTGCCCCAAAAAGAAAAGCTATTAATAGAATTTTACTCTGGAAACAGGCGAATTTTGTTCATTCACCACACTGCTCACTTTATAAATTTCAAAGTATGTTATAAAGTGTCAATTCAGACTCTAAGCGCGTCGTATACTTGGACGATTATCCACAAAGCTTTAGTTTTTAATGCCAGGGTGGTGGCAGGAGGTATAAGTCTGAAAGTTTTGTAACATTATTGTAACCCTTTCCCCACCCAGAAAGAGCTTTGGAATGGATTAGAAAACTCTTTGATAGGTGTGTTTTGACCTTTTAGTTTATCTTCACAGGCATAAAAAGAGGGAGGGGGGCGCGCCGTGCAGGGAGGGAACCTTAATTACTTGCATACCTTGCAGCAGTGCAAGACTTTCGTTCAATTTTATATTAGCTCCCAAAAGATAAAAATATTCAGTTTTGCAGTGACAAAAAGATGTGTATCTAACTTTGTATCTTACAGGCATTTGCCGCCGCAGGATTTGGTGGATGGAAGCTTCAAGGCATAGTAAAGCCAAGTAGCTAGCTTGCTGTGACTTTCCTGCTGGGTAAACTTACAAATAAATATGCAAGAGGTTGGAAGCGTCAATACTTATTCAAGCAAACCTAAAAGGCCTCAGTTAGGTAAAGGCTACAGTACTGATGACTTCGGAAAGTATATACTGGAGGGTATGATGCCAAAAGCTTCAGTTAGATCTGTTTAATTTAGCAGCTGTGATGTTTACATGGTGATTCAAGATGATACATGGCTGAGGATAATGTGCAGGATCTCAATGGTTCATATATGCTGCTTGGTATGGGTCATTTGTTCATTGAAGTGAACTTATGCTGCTCGGTGGTTGTTGATTCATACTCAACTACAGGTTTCCAAAGAAAAAAAAATAATAATGCTTCTGTAAATCATATGCTGTGAAAAGAAAAAGCATTACTTGTTACTTTTCTCCCTTTTTACTCCGTTCTTCTCTTACATTTTGATAATAAAGACTGAAAATCTATTTTGAAATACCAAAATGCTATTGGTTAATGATTTTCAGCAACCAAAACGACAAGAATTCCCGGCCTAGATTTAAATTGAAGAACGATACATTTTATCAACTTCTGCAAATTTCCTCTTGTGGAGATTACTTCAAATGATAGATGAAGGGTGGCACTCTTGCTTAATACTTTTTTATCAATAAAAGAAAACATATATTTTTCAAGTAAAAAGCATACAGAAAAATGATGACAATTATATTAGTATATTGTTGCAGCGTTTTTAAATTTATCTACTGCATTATGAGTATTCTAATCAGATAGCTTCGTTTTTGCATATCGAGATGCCCAGCTGGAAGAAATGGGTGGGTGGCGAGAGAGGCCTAAAATTATATCCCAAAAAACTGCAATTTCATTGCTTAAGAACTTGTGTGGTCAACTTTACCTCAATTTTTATAAGGCATTATTAACAACTTCTGCAAATACACTCTGCTATGTATAATTCCTTGAACGAAATTGCTAGCTGAGTCATATCCATCCACATGGATAAGATTCCCTCTAAAAGAAATGATTAATCAAAGCTCAAAACCAAACAGTAATTACCTTGTTCAATATGTCAAATATGTTCATAAAGATTCCCCAGTAGTCATTTTGCTCAGATGCTTCCTCAACAATCTGCATCAACTAATAAGTAACCAGTTACTAATGTATGATTATGGCATTGGTTTATGCTTCAAACAGATGAAAATTCCAAGAGGACCCTCTTTGAGAAAAGGAAAAAGCAAACGATACCCTTAAATTGTACTGAATAATTCGACTGAAAAGAGCATAATTGGATAACCATGCCATCTTTGTATCACTTCTCACCCATATCCTCCACATTTAGCTTTGCCAGTTCGTATTTTCTTGAAAAACTTAAAATTGATCAAATTATTCTTAAAATAAACAAAGAGAACAAAACATGACTAGAAAAAGATAGAGCCGAATTCAATACATTAGACTGTTTTCGGTATAATTAGTCAGCGCGACAATTTAGCTGAAAAACTAACTAAAATCTAAAAATGTTTGTCAAACTAGCTAAAATTAAAAAATGATTAATTTGGCCTTGATTAATTGTTGAATCAAATCTCAATATTAGGTAATTATATATTTTCAATTACTATAAATTGATATTAATTTATTTTAATATTTTTATATAAATTAAATTTCACATAATATTTGTTTAAAATTTTATTCTTCATTATATTTTAAAAGTTTTTAAAATCAAGGGTTAAATATGTTTTTGATCTTTAACTTTTCAGTGAAAAATTAGAAATAGTTCATTTTTAAAATTTTGGTTCAATTTAATCTTCCAACTTTAGAAATAAGTGGATTTAATCTTTTGAACTAAATTGTATAAGGTTTATTTGATGTTTTAAACACGTTTTTGAGATGAAATGTTTCAAATTGTGTAAATAACTCAAATACGGTCATGAAATCCGTTTAAAACGTCAAATAAACCTGATAAAGTTTAGTTAAAAGAATTAAATCCACACATCTCTAAAATTTAAGAAATAAATTAGGCCAAAAATTTGGAAACTAATTCAAAATTTTACTGAAAATTAAAAAATTTAAAACATATTTAATCTTAAAATCAATGTTAATTTGGAATAAAAAGTTCAATAATTAACAAATGTAACGTTAAGTAGTCATACAAAAATGTAACAATAAAACAATAACCTACGGATTATACAGTATATAATATATATAATTATAAAGAGGATTGGACATTATGATATTTATTATTATTTTAAAAGATAAAATAATAAATGTTATTTAAATAAACTGTTTTGAAACGTTGGTATAAATAATTTTTTGAAAGAAAGTAAAATCTATAAAACATTTAATTATACAGCATAAATATAATAATCTGATCAAAAATTCATCTACCACATATGATAAGTTACAAAACTTGGATCTTACCTTTCACTGCATTCCTAGAAAAGAGATTGCATACAAAGAATCAGACAGCCAAATCACTTTTCCTAAAGTTCCAATAATCAACAATATTCGTTTTCCATTTTGTTTTTGTATACACCTTCTATCTTTAGTTCTTCTGCATCAAACCAAACGACACTAAGTGTTTGTTTTTAATTGCTATTATTTATTTTTCTTTAATGCAAACATTTTAACTATTATTACATCGTACAAATACAAGTGTGTATTATTTTCGATCATACTTTTGAAAATTTTAATTTATATTTATATTTTCTTAAATAGCAGATAATTTGAGACAAAGAAATATTCAAAGAAGTGACAAATCAATGCACAAAGGCAATATCATCATTTAGATTTGTAACGAGAAATAAAACAACAAAGATTGTTGTCACAATGTAGAACTCAGAAAAGTGTGCAACTTTTAACCTTTTAAAAATATTTAAATTTTAGCCTATATATTATGTAAATGGTAACTTTTTATTTTTATATAATTAAAATTTATAATAAAAAAATTCAATATGTAAATTATCTTCTAATTCATATTTGTAGTAAATAAAAATATTTTAATATATTATATTTATTATTTATAATAACCAGTACTAAATCTTAATTTAAAATATTTAAAAGAATGAAAATCAAAAGGATAAAATAGATTAGCATAAAAGTAACAGTTTAAGATAGTCCAAAAAAGTGTTTAACTAATTGTAAGCAAATGTATGACTACACAGAATAAAGATCTTCATCTTAAACTAAGTATTAATGATTTTTAATTTTTTTCATTAAATGGCATTGAATAATTTAATTAAAAGTTAAGCTATTGATATTTTAAAAAAATTGAAATCTAATTTAAAATTTTAATTTGAGATGATTGAAAGTTGTAACATCCCAAAATATAACATAACACTGTATCATAGATTAATCACATATAATAATAAGAAGATAGAACAATTCATCAAGAATTGAGTTAGTAGAGTATTTAACTTTACAGTTATCCAAAATAACTATAAAACTAAAAACTTTACATAACAACATAAGTCTGATGCAAAAGTATAGACATAAACGGCCTGTATAAACCGAACGACTTACAAAAGGTCAACTAAACCTATTGACCGAATGATCAAATCTAAAACTATACCCAACTGATGACCGAGCGGTCTTATCCTGAGCAACAGGATCCTCTCCTTCCAATGCTTGCTCCACCGAACACTCATCACCTTCTGCTCACATCCACAGGATGATCATTGCAAAAGAAAAGATAACCGAACAGACATAATAAGACGAAACAAGAAAGTAGGGTAAACTATTGTAATTTAATTATAAACACATATATGCATTTCATGCAAGTTCAATCTATATGAATTTTAATTGTACATCATACAACAATGAATACAATTCATCACATACAACCAAAACATCATAATTCATATAAATATATATAAATCGAATATTATGACTTGACCATCCGGATTGTACGAATATGTAGCTACAGTCGTCCTTGCACTTGTGGTAGTGTAACAGCTGACACCAATCAAGCTACTACCCAAGGTTAATCCCATAATACCTACCTCGGCACCCTGAGGTGGTAGGACCTCCTGTTATTCTCACAAATGATATACCTCTTTCTATGTGAGAATGATACTCATAGAACTTCAGGATGAACGTCAGCTTAGCATATCCATATTCATACTTTACAAATCAATAATCATACACGAGACATTCCGCCTTGGAATTCTCTTCCACTGTATTCAAAAGTTCAACCTTCTCATTTTTTTTCCACAATCTATCATTCATTATTTATATTTCCATTCACAGAATAAAGAGAACATGTGAACGTTGGAGATCGAACACCTTCACACTACCCAATTGAGAGTATTGAACGATTCATAAGAGACAAAACAGAAACAATTGATCGAACGCTATTATAGACCGACCACTATAGAAACCAACTACTAGAAACTTAGCCCAAACCGAAGAGCTTAAACCGTACCCTCATAACTCAAACCAAAACTCTTAAAAACTTATACCAAACACTATACTAGACCGAGTACTTAGAGATTATAACCTATTCTACTGAACCTATTACTCACTGCTCACCACTCACATTTTCACATACTCTCATTTCCAAACCAGAAATGACCGAACGTTCTACAACAGCAAACTCCAATCCAGTTCACAAGTTCCGGCCAAACACAGAAATTGAATACAAATCAATCAAACATACCATTATTCATACATGCAAGCGTTCAAACCTCAATTCCAAACACAGAAAAATATAATTAAATCACTAGCTTCCCTTACTTTTTGAATAAACGAGATACTTCCTAAGCTTCCACAACTTTAACTAACCAGTAACCACTTCTAAAGCAACCCACTACAATTCCGATCGATGAAAAGGGACCAACCAGAGGATTAAAATAGAAACATGTTCGAAAAAAGATAGATGAAGAACACATGCAAGCTGAACAACGCTTGCATGTTCCAGAAAATACCGAAACTTAAATAAAACAAATGAGTTTACTTACCCACTTCACACAACAACTAGATTGATGGAAAAGAATTTCTGGCCACCCAGGAAGAACTCACACACAGCCTAGATGATGAAGAAGGATAAAGTGAGGATTTTTAGAGAGAAGAAGGAGAATTGTAGAAAGAAGGATGAGAAATTCAGAATTTTGGAGAGAAGAGATGCATGCAAAAGTGATAAGTGGGAAAAAGAGTTCTTTTTATACTTATAAATGAGCTCAATCTTGTAATTATTCATGTTGTTCCTCATTGAAAAGTTGTAATAGGTAGTAGATTGTTATGTAAAATATTCTACAGAAAATGGTGTATTATTTAGACTCTGTCAGCCAATTTTCGCAAAGCGAAAGCCAAAATTCGCACTGCCAGAAGAAGAAAATTCGCACAGCGCACCAGTACCTGTGCGCTGAGCGAATTAACATCAGTTAAAGTACAACAGTTAAGAAAATTCGCATAGCGCACCAGT